CAGGTTTCGCAACAGACCCTGAGGCTCGAACTCCTCATCCTGCTGGTTAAAAGTCCAACGCCCTAACCACTGGGGGTAGGGCTAGTTGCAATCGAGTAAATTAACAGGGGTCGAGTGGGCCTGCTCATCGATCGCCATAGAGAACACAAAAGTCAAAATGTGCCTTGAAACTCAATCTTGAGCCCCGCCGGCAGTTGCTCAGCGGCTAGCGTAAAAGCATGTAGAGCACAATCTCAGGGTTTGCAAAAATTCTATCTTTGATGGTACCATCATCCTGCCTGTGACACTAACAGTTGGCAGATAGGTGCACACGAAAAAGAACCTACATTCTCCTTCTCCTGTTCTTTCCTTCTCCGATCCTCTAGGATCATGGGCAAGGGTGTGATATCATTCCCCTCGTCGTCGTAAAGACGGAGCGGACCGACGGAGCCATTCGAGTCAGAACCTGACTTCTTGGGACTGGCTACGGAGGCACCCGTGAGGGACCTCCGGTTACCCGTAGACTGTCGTCTTCCCATTTGGACACTCATTTTTCAGAGCATATATGACTGACCGGTAAATTCTCAACAGAACTCGTGCGGAATTAAAGGATCTGAAGGAGAAAAAAAGGACAGATAAGGTTCACCCAAAGAGAGAAAAGGAGAGTAATGGAAAGGTGATGATGCAATACGAGAACACTGAACGTTATCAGGACATTCTCAAGTGAACTGCATCAAGTGTCGATAATCAATACTTCGGAGAAGCACTTGGTGAATAACTCTGTTTTCTGAGACATACAAGTAGCATAGTTTGGCGTGTTTATGATTATGAGATGCATTATTTACTCTCGTATCAGAGTTGTGAATGCAGAAACATCATTTTCCTCAAATCGTAATAGAACCAAAATCGCCAGCGTGGGAAGACAAGCAAAATTGGTTTTTAAATTTCTGGAAATCTGTAGATATCTGGATGATTACTTCGAAAAGAAGCACACAAATATTCACGAAGGCTTATTGTTTCCCAGCAGGACATAAGCAAGTGTAAAAAAAACACGAATTTAAACCTGCATTAGGCAGAGACTGAATTTCCTACCCCTTTATATTTATAAAAATAAAAGCACCTAAATGCCATAATTTTCAACATTTCGGCAGACGCAAAACATCTTAAATTCCTTAAGTCAATCCCATACCAGTAACAAAAGTATGCGGAGTACAATGGAATAACTTTCATTAAAAAATTGTGCCCAACTGTGCCATTATGTACAGTTTAGAATGGGACATGAACGATCAAACAAACTTTAAAGTTTTGAAAGTTTTGAATTTCCTGTGTCCGATTCTTCGCCTAAAATGCGGGACACTGTGTAAAAAAGTCAGCAGATTCCCACAACTAACCAAAATGCTCATCTCTGGCCTAATCGCCATCATCAGTCAGGCTAACTCTACGCATAGTGCAAACCCATGCGAATTGCTTGGAGTGAACCCGAGCCTGACATGGTGACTAATGGTGATGAATTGGATACAGGTTTGGCTCAAGATACTCATTTTACAAAAATAATAATGAACCTCTTTTCACTAGGTGGCAGTTGCTTTGAATTCACATTACTACTTGGGTTGGTGCCAGTTAGGAATAGGGTTTTTAGAAAAATCTCATTCACCTTTGTTTACTGTAGATAGATTAGGAAAAATACTTTTTTTGAAAACAATGCTACAGAAGACAAAGAAAAATAACTATGGAGGCCAAAACTTTCACTTTTTTTCATAGACCCAAAATACCTGTCTCTCGAAGATGGATGATAGTGAAAATCTTCTTAGGCAACACAGGTTAGATTATTTTCTATAATCACAGCACAACTAATATGTAAAAGCCTAGGCAGGTTTTATTTGGGTAGTCTGCTGCTGCACTTCACAACAACGAGCGTTTTGGCTCATCAGTAGGTTCCCCAGCGTTATCCGTAGATAAAATAGAAAGCAGACAGTAGACGCTGCGGACCAGACTGATGAGCCGAACCCTCGCTTCTGGGTTATGCGGTGGAGATTCAAAAGCTCAAAGATTCTGAGTCTGCCTTTTAAAAAAGAAATCGCTCGGGTTAGATACAACTCGAAATAGACTGTGAAACTGCGTGGAATCAAGTCAAAATCATGATAATTGCAACACAATATAGAACAGTTTAATTTTAGGTGAAGTAGATGTTATACGTTTTCCAAAACGACGCAGATGCTGGGCAGGAAAAAGACAGTTCAACATATGAATCAAGTTGTTTAGGACCTAGGACGTGAGGAATAAATTTGTCAAGGAAGGGCTAATCAATAAACGTTCATTTTAAAAAAGAGATTTGTAAAAGGGGCATCGTTAGAAGTCATAATAAGTTGACATTTGGTGTACGAGAATGGAATGTTGCGTACTTTCAATTCATGGTTTGTAAATTTCAGACATAGAATGCGCCTGCGTTCCGATGATCCCCCTTCTATAATAACATTTAGTAACTATATCCTTGCTTCAACCAATTCTACGAACGTCTTGAGGAATAAACACGGACAGTCGGCATGGACGGTCTTGTTTTCATAGGGCCTCCATACAGTCAATCTAAGTAACAGTTTAAAGCCTGAAATAAAGAGATGTTGTGCACTGTTCGTAGATCACATCGCAAAAGAAAGGTCGTTTTTCTTTGTAACCTAAACACTTCACACAACTTTTAAGTTAAGATACTTCAGTGGCACCGACGGCTCAGAAAATGTATCCGTTACATAGGACGGATTCTGTTCAGTCAACCCAAGCCACATAAGCTAATGGCGATATTAAGTGAGATTGTTTGCGGAAGTTAACGAGATACGTGGGGCGCGCATGTGAGATAGTTCCGTGGTCATCGCGTTAGGTGGATGATAAGGGCTTGGAGATACCGTGTTAATCTTTATTTTCTACAAGTACTTACAAAGATAGTTGAGGTTTTTACTTTTCTAGACTAAAATGAATCCCAATAATAACGGGGATATGCACATACTGTATTTTCTTGCCCTCTCGGCATTGCTAGTTGAATTCATTAGAAGACTACACCAAAAATGAGGAATGTTTTTTTCACTCCGTAATCGGCTGTTTTAAAGCTATTTAAAACGTTACCAGATGTAACTACATGCCAAGGTAGCTGAAACGCTAAAAGTTAGTTGAAAAAAATTTAGTAAATCAAAAAGCCATCATCAATCCCTAGACAGTCCAGTGTATTTCCTATAGATTCCTGAACAAACCCATCACACCTAAAGCCTCTCAAGCTTTTCGACCTATTACCCGTTTGAGGAAATTATTTTCAAATAGTATATCTGGATAGTGACTTCCCGTCTTTGTAGCATTACTAAGTACAGTTCAGAGAGCACAACTATATTCAAACCTTCGGCCTTTTGTTTTTACTACTTATTTTTCCAATCTTGTAAAATATTGCTTAAATTCATAAATTCTGCTAAAAAACTACAGTTTCTGCTTAAATTTTTTCCCGTTAGTTTAGGTTACACCGAAGATAATGAGCTCACATTGATCACATCCTTGATCAGGAAGTTACTCTCTGGTGAATTTTCTTGCAGTTAGTCCAGCAGAATTCAAGCGCTTTCAACAGTATCTGCGAGCTCTTCAAAGAAAAGAAATAATGACTTCTGGCCTCCAATATTTCAGTCAGGAAACAGAAGGAAAAATCAGATTTTCATCCAAAATCATGTTGGTTTGATAACCTACCCAGATCTATATTTCAATTCTTCCACATAACCCTAACGTAACCAATCATGGTTGAGAACAAAAGCTTAACCTGTCTACTAAGTTCCTTTCCTAATACTTGGAGACAGACTTGAAGAGGGTTGAGCTGACGCAGTCCTAGCCTATTAGCTGGACGGAACCAGAGGACGAGGACTTCAACCCGGATTGCTCCGCCTCCGGAAAATAGTTTCACAGCGTGCGTCCCTGTTTCCTTATTTTAACCGCCGATTTGATTGTTTTATCAAAGAACAACACGCAAAAATAAAAGTTATTTATGCTTTTTTGACAAAAAGATAGATTTTGGAAAAAGTTGTTCAGTAAATTTAGTTCGTCCATAAAGGTCCTTGGCCCTGGATTGTCCCATCTTCAGCCCCGCCGAATCCAGGGTCATGTGCTGGCAGAGTAATTCGAACAAGTCAACTTAAGTCATTAAAAATTGGGATAGTTTGGGAACAATTATGAAGTCTACAAATCCAATGAAAATTGATATACATACGTTCTATTGGTAAATGAACGCTCACTGACCGGTTGCAAGACTTAATCCACCCGTTCTGCCTCGAAAATGCTCGTGAACATTGTAGGCAGATGCATCTGCCTACAATTGACATTACTGAGTAGCTGGTTGTTCATGGATAATTTAAGGCGGAATCATTTCTTAAAATATTAAGGATTTATACTAGAAGATAGTTCCTCTGTGCAATGTACAAATAATCAATGCCCATGACTCAGTGTAAATCACCGAATTGAAATAACCAAATTCAACTATTTTCCACTTAAAAGGCCTCTTCTTGTGGGCTCAGCAATTCTAATAATAATATACTATAAAGAAAGTGAACTTTGTTTTTCCCAAAATGTTTTCGGTATTATCTGCAAATTAAATGTTCTTGCAAGGCCACGATAACAAAACATACACTTTCAAGTAATGCGCCTTTCCGTTGCCTATGGGAATTGCGTCCCGCTCAGACGTAAAAAAATATAATATCACGGAGAAAGAGAACACGCGACTTTGCTGCTGCTTTACTGCTAAAATGTGTATCAGAACGCAATGAAACTTGGCACTGATGCCCAGAAAGTGATGATAAAGGAGGGGTAAGTAGAAAACGGCAAATAGGCAAAATCCAGTGAATTGTGCCATTTTTTGCTGAAAATTTACGATTTTTCACCTTAAATAAACCAAGTATTCTCTCTCTTAATCCAGAAACGGCTAAGTAACCCCACCAATACGTGGTAGATGAACATAAATACTTGCCATGACGACGCCTACTTTGGGCGGATTATCTTGATGCATTCCAGTCGCTCAAATGATTAATTTCACATGGCAATGTGTGGCTTCTCCTACCAGAGAACAATACGAACACTGAAACAGAAGAAATACGTGAAAATGAAAGCTGGGAGATGAATATGTTTAAAATGGGTCATAATCACCAAATTTGTAGAAAATTACGGTAACCCAAGTGTTAACGTGAAAAATTTGCAAAATATGGAAAAGTGGGGAACTTGCTTCCACGGAAGGAAATGATTCTAGAAGCCAGGCCCTTCGGCTTGTTTATTCTCTTACCTAAGCCTGCATATATACAAGGCCATATTGATAATGACATGGTTGGATTAGATTCCAACTCACTTCATGCCTTAACTCTCACAAAGGATCAGAACGACTAGTAAGGAAGTTACATGAGGAATAAGACCTTCCACACTGACGAATCTTGTCAAGGTTGGATAATATATTATAGAAAAGTGACCTATCAACATTGTGCCTTCACTCAGACTGAACTCGCTTTTGGCATGCAACAAAAAATTGCGCACA